GTCGACCATGTGGGAGTCCAGCACCTTAAACACTACGTCATCTGCTGGCTCCAAGGTCTTAATTTTTTGGCATCATAGATTCTTTGACAATGTGGTGAAACCTTCTGGCATCCCATTTAGGAATAAGGTATTGTTTTAGTGTTTTTTTTTTTTTTTAAATAAGGATTTTGTATTAAAAATATAATTATACATTAAACCAATTATATTGAAATGCAGTTTTCAAATATTTTTAAATGGGTGATATAGCACTTTCTGTGATTTTTATTAACACAATAAATAATGGTTACTTTGTATCAATGAGTCATAACTATAGTAATTAAAAAATTGTCATGGGTTTAACAATATTAAACGATATTTATAGTAAATATAATATGATAGAAAATATCTATGATTTTATTTAGTTACAAAGTCTAAATTTCTACTCAGTCTAGTATTACTGTTATGGCTTATATTTGTAGTTGAAGGAAATGGAGAATTTGTCATAGATTAGTGAACATAAATAATAATATTTTTAGTGCCTCCCCTCCCCCAAAAAACAAATAGAAAACATCTAAATTGGCATGCAGTAGTCACATTGTGTCTGTCTGCAGATAATGAGACCTTATATGTAAAGGAAACCCTAAAGATCCCACATAAAACTCTTAGAACCAAGGCCAACCCATGACCTAGTGGTTAAACTGGCTGGATTCCACCTAGCTGAATGTAGGGTCCAAGTACCAGACCCAGTTGCTTGAAAAACACATTGGGTATATGTGAGTGCATGCCCAACATCCTAAAGGAGGGATATGGAGAAGTGATTACACCGTAACTGTCCCTCATGGAGAAGTGATTTTTCACTTTCCTTCTCTCTCCCTGTTTCTCTCCAGTGAGTGCACACTCCCTCTAGCAAATTTAGAAATAAATAAAGAATACCAAGACAATGTAAACAATCACAAGAGAGTTCTAATAGGATTAATGAAATTGGTACATCTTTGGGGAGGTTCATACGAAAAGAAAGAGACACAGAATAGGGTATATATTATTGTATCAGATATTTAAAAGGAGATAGCAGAAATGCTGATATTAAGAAAGCCATCACCGGTAATGTAAACGACCAGAAGTGAATACATCTATTTAAGTGAAATGGGAAAAGTTCACTAGAAAAGTATATCCTTAGAAAATCTCCACAAAAAGAAACAGACAGTATGCATACTTTTGTCTTAAAGAAAATGAATACATAATTTAAATTCCTCCCACAAATTCCCATTTGGTTTAACATGTGAATTTTACAAAACATTTAAGAAAGACATTTTATAAACCCTTAGTTTTATTTTTTGTTCAGTGAAGCCAGATATGGAATTATTTCTATCACTATCATTGAAGGTTCAGAGTTTAGTGTGAGCACTATAATGAAAATATGTGAACTCTCAAGGGCATTCTTCTTTAGGGAAACCTGCTAACAGCAGGACCTTTTGAATTACATCCTGTAGATCAATGCAGCATTACTTATTCAGCTGTTTCTCCTGAGGTGTCTCTGAAGCTACAAAAAAAAAAAAAAAAGGAAACAATAATTCTTTTATTGCTATCATAATTACTGAAAAGTATCACATGATAGTTCCGCACTGATCTTTGCAAAAGTATGCTTCTACTCTTGTTAAAATGTTTTCAGAAAGGAATGAACAATGTGTCAGAATAAACTGCAGTTCAGAGGTGATATCTTCTCACTTTGAATACTGATCTGTTGCAGTTACTCGAGGTAGAGAGAGCAAATCCTATTTCAGATAATAAAATCTGCTCCTAGACTACTTTATTGTGTTATTCAAATACAATTTAAATGTTGTACTAATACTTTAGACACACCAAAAAAACTTATTCCTAGGGTTGATGTATCTACATTGCTGTTCTCTTCAATGTAATTTATTGTTTTAATTAATTTCTAAAATCTATTTTATTTTGAGAGATTTTTGTTTGTTTGTTTTGTTTTTTGTTTGTTTGTTTTTTGCTTCTTTTGGGTTCACACACTTGCCAGAGAGATACAGAGAGATAGAAGAATAGAAATCACCTTCCCAGGGGGTATGGCCACACTGTAGTCCCTCTTCCTCTTGGGGTTTTGGGCACACACAGTATGAGTTTCAAGACGCTGTGTCTGGGACTTGAATTTTTGGCCATATTGGAGATCAGCACCTCAACCACCACACCACCTGCTGTCCCCACAAATATTAAATGTGACATTATCTGAGTAATGTAAGATTGGTGAAAAAATATGCTTGAAAAATTCTAGCATTTGTTATGATGGAATGATAGTCCTGTACTTTTACAACTGTAAAATCAAGGGAAAATTTATTTAATTATGATTGTGCCTTAGGTTAATTTAAAACAATAGTGGACTATATCTCTACATTAAAATTAGATAACTGTCTACTTTTTAAATTATTATTAAACTAGACAAAGCCTGGCTATCAATGCCAATTGCTTTATTTTCCTGGTACATCAGTTTCTCATTTGTAAAATTGTGGCAAGACTATCTATCTTGTAGAAATTCTGCGAGTATTGCATGAGATAAATGTCATGGGGATGGTGTCTAGCACTTAATATTCACAGTTACATTTCAGTTTCCTTGACTTCTTTCTTGTACCGAGAATTTAATTTCTGTGAACCACAAGAAAGAGCTTTTCAATGGATCTAATTGGACTAGGGGAAAATCTTAATCTAATAAAAACAGATCTGTCGGTATAGACAAACCAATGATCTTTTCTCAATAAATCCTATAAACTCTTTGTTGGGGGGGTTTGTTTTCTGTTACTTAATAACTAAATATCACACATAGTAATTTATGAAAAATAAAACTTTATTTAACCCATCATTTTGGGGGAGTAAGGTCAAGGGACCATGTCTGGTAATATGGATCTTACTTATTTATATATTTTTTGGAGTTTTTGCTATAGGGCATGTGTACTCACCAGAAAGACAGCGACAGGGAGAAAGAAAGTGTGAAATGACCATGCCACAATCCCTTCTCCTCCATTCTCCTCTCAGGATCTTGGGCACGCATGCACATGTGCCCTGAGTGAGTTTAAGCCACCCAGTCCAGGACTTGAACTGCAGTCGACTATATGGGAGTCTAGTGACATAGCCATTACGCCAATTGCTGGTCCTGATATGGATCTTATTGTTGGTGAAGACTTTCTTCAGGGTCCCAGGGTGGTGCAGGACATTCATCACATGTGAAAGGGCAAGAATGAGCTTGCCTGTGTCTATGTCTCTGCTCCAGTCTTACTCCCTGAATTGTCATAGAACATGAGGTTATGGAGGAAATGGGTAAATAACATAAGGGGAAGGGAAAGCAGAAGTACGAAAGAAATCATGCAGTTCTCAAAGTACAGAGGTAGCATCCTTGGTCCCTGATAATTCGATGTCAAGTGTGATTTCCATGAGGCCATGCCTTCAGAGTCTACTATATTATTGTGTAATGAGCTTTTCAGACACATATGTATTTTGTAAAATTTAACTGCCTTGAATGTATTCTCATCACAGTCAAGAGAATAAAAATTTTCCCCTGCTTTTGCGATTCTGTTGCTTAGAGCAATGTATATTGGTTTTTAAAATCTTAAGTTGGGTCATGATTTTTAATGAATATTTATTTTTAAGTTGTCTATAAGATTAGTTCTTGGGTTTATCAGCACTATGTAATGTGGCTTGAAATGGTATCTTTACCTTAAAGATATTAGTGAATTGATCATATATTGAAGAGAAAATAAGAGAATATAGTGATTACATAAGCCTATAAAGGAAAAATGATCCAACCAGTATCCAATAATTGAATGAGTTGTGTATAAAATAACACTGTAAAAATTTTATCACATATGTGGGTGTGTGAGAGGGAGAAGAGAGAGTTAGAATGCTTCGGGTGCAAGTAAAAAAAAATAGCCAATTAAAAAATTAAGATTAGGGGTCAGCAAGTGACATGGAGGATAAGACAACTGGATCTTACATGGCCAACTGCATGGTTCAAATCCTACACCCGGCAGCTTAAAAAACATGCTCAGTAAATGTGAGAGCGTGCCCAAAATCCCCAGAGGAGAATAGAGAAAGAAGATTTGTGGTGTCTCCTATGGAGGGTGTTTTCTCACTTTCCCGTTCTTTATCTCTGGTGAATGTATGTACCTTGTAACAAAGAAACAAACAAAACAATAAAAAAAAAAAAGAAAAGAAAAGAAGTTATTTGTGATGCTACACAAGAATAGCCACAATATTCAGTGATATCAGCAATGATTCTGGCTCTTTCTGTGCTTTCACTCAGCCATCTTCAGAGGGTTGGCTGTAGTCTTTAGTTCTGTCATTTTACGAATCCAAAAATCCAAGATGGTGCTGCAAGCTTTTTAGTCCAACACCATCTTGTCCAAAATATAATGGGCAGTTGGCTATCCTAGATTGTTTTTATTTAGATAGATAGACTTTCACCAAACTCCCCATCATACGCCCTCTTAAATTCCATCAGGTTTGTGTAGTATAACCTGATATATTATATTGTCCAAGCAGAATTATGAGTACTTCCCTTTTATTCTCACACCTGGCCACATTTGGATGACTTACATGCCTACTCCACGTTTGGCTCCCATGCTTATACCTTAGAAGCCTGAGAGTCTAAGAAAGTGAATATCTGCTATTTTCAGCCTCTCTTATGGAAAGTGATTCTGCCAAGGGCTAAGAGAATGGCTTTGGGGTAGGAAACCGATCATGTCTGTCACATGTTAGGTAGTAAACAATTCCCAATTTCTGATTATGAAGCTTAACATTGTGGAAATGAGACTGAACAATTCATGTTAAAATTTGTAGGGATTATTTGGTCATCTATGAGTATGAATTTAGGATGATATACTTGGCAAATTTTATGATAAAGAGAAATTCAATTTTGTTTACTATTTTGAAATACTGATGGAGATAATATTAGCAATTTCTAACTTTTATCTTATTTTTTAAAAATTTTTAATGATATTCTAAATATTTCTGTTTTCCCCTAGGATTAGACTCAGTGACCAAGCAACTTATGCTACAAACAGCTAAACCAACATTTGGACATCTGACAGAAGTAAGTAAAATGTTCAGATTGTTATAATAAATATCTTTCTTTCCCATAATTAAATACAAGCATTAATTACGTTTTACTGTCTAGTAACCTCCCCATTAACATGACTATAATGTTATCTACTTTCTAGAAAATAGTAAAATAAACATTTGCAAAAGTTCTTATAATAATCCATCCACCTCCTCCTGTGTTTTAATTTTTATGGTGATGTTTTTGGTAACATGGATAAATATAACAACTTATAAAATATTTCATAGCCTGTCTCAGCTAAAATGTACCTGTAATAAGCTTTATATGAAAGGGCTTCAGATTTTTAAAGAGGACTATAAACATTTAAACAGATATTTTAAAGGTTGTGGGTCATTATTATCTTAGCTTTAGTATGTACAATTTATGTTCATTAATATGATTTGTATCAATAGTTACAACAAATACACCTTATGCCAATATCTAGAAAATGCATAGAGGATCATTATGCATTACTCCATACTAGAATATTTGATTAGTTCATGCTAGAATATTTAATAACCTATCCAAGATATGTGATAAAAACTGAGCAAGTTTATGATATAATAAAAAATATGAGGAATATTTAGGTCAGTAGTAGCACTCCAAAGGAGTGGAAAAGCCCAGATGGTGCTGCTCTTTATGAAAAAAAGAAAAATAAAGCACAACCCAAATGGTCTAAACATCCCATGTGTGTGGAGCGGGTATTTGTCAAAGGTGACAGACCGTAATGTGTGATATGAATCGTCAAAAGGGGAAGGAAATGGATTGGCAATTTAACCAAATAGTTTTTGTGAGGACCAGAAATACCAAAGGGAATATTTAAAGACTTACTTGTTTATAGTGTGGTGGTAAATGCAAGCCTTCCTCTCTGTCTTCCAAGGAAATCCTTAGTGAAATCCACATGACTTACTCTGATGCTTTCAGTATTTCCTTATGGTTGAATTTCAACACATGTTGAGAACAGAAGTTCCCCCAAGCAGGCAACATCCAGGTCACATTTCAAGTATGCATCTGGAGTGTGTGAATTAAGGTACTGCTTTCAATTGCATTTTGATTCAGTCATCATGAAAATGAGGCAAGACTGTTTCCTCACCATAGTTGCCAAATGTCACAAAGCATGATGGGTAGGGAACGCATGGCCTCACAGAGGAAGGACATTCTAAAAATGACCAAAGTGCCATTGCTTTTGTAGCAATAGAGGCTACATAATCCCTGAATTCAAGTTCTGCCTACTGACTCATGCTATCACAAGTGGAACTTTGCTGGACTTGACTGAGAAGGGCCAGCTGAAAGTTGAGGGGAGAGACTGTTTCAGATAGGACTAGGAAATGCTACGTAGAAACGTCTCCTCAATCCCTTAGTTGGGAGTGTAAGACAACAGTCAGTGAAACTATGAGTATCACAGTAACTGTTGTCTTGTTTTTGAGGTTTTTTTTTTTTTTTTTTTTTTTTTTTTAGATGTGGGACACAGATGCTTGTCTGTAGGAAATTTACCAGCTATAAACAGAATGTTATTCACTAGGACTAGTGAGAACAGGAAGGGCTAGGAAGGGGTCACTAACTATCTAAAATGAATACCGCCCCGAGAAGTAATCTGGATTATGCTTTCCAGGGGTCCAGGCATAACGTGGTATATCTGGGAGCCGATATTTGAAAAGAGCAATAAAAAACAGTGTGGAGAAAGAGAAAATCCTAGGATAGAAGTGTGGAGTGAGCAAGATTTAGAAGAAAATGAACATTTTTAAGTAAACTTTTTAAAGCAATTTGGATTTAGAGGAAGAGAATCAAGGGGAAAAGAAAAACGAAACTTTAAGGGTTACAAAAATAGAAAACTGTCTGTTAATAATAATGTATATGAAAATACCTTTAACTGGAACAATACATAGTGTACTCATGCTGGGAAAATTTATTTTGCAAGCTGTAATGATACCCAGTGATTGTATAAAAAAATTTAAAAGTAAAAAAAAAAGAAAAACAAGTATCAATAGATTCAGATTTTTTTTTTTAAAACAAAAAGCAGCTTGGCAGTGTCAGGTTTGAGGTAAGCCTTATTTTTTCCCCTTGAAAATTTCAATTGCTCACTAATGGTTTTGATTTGAATAGATTTTTTTGATTTTGTTTGTTTGTTTGTTTGTTTAATGCTGAGTGGAGAAAAGTGCCAGCTCCAACTTCCAGTTTGGTGAAAGCACGAACAGATGCTGCATACTAAGTCAGCCACATCTGTGTTAAGCCATGTCGCAAAGGAAAAATAAAATGAAATGCACTGTATTCTGGCAGCGTATTAATGATCATGCAAGGGTTCATTTTTAATTCTGTATTTGTCACTGTTGTTTTGTGATCGCTCTCAAGCTGCTAGGAATTCTATCTCCTTCTTCTTCAGGGACCTCTATTCCAGGACCTTGCACAACTGGCATTGTTAACTAATCCTTGCAAAGCAAAAGTTAAAAGAGCAGATCATATATAGGAATACAAACATTCACCTTATTTTAATGGACTTTATTCATGCCAATTAACATTTTTACACAGACGGGATTATTTTGACTAGCTTATAAAAATGATGAGTTTCAGACACAGCTCAGTTTTGCCTTTAAAATATTGGATGTTTAAGCAAAACCATCCCTTACTCCTTGGTGTCAGAGAACCAGCTTCACACAGATGTGGAGGCTTCACACACATCCCTCACTCATGTGCTGAAACTGTGCTTAATTCTCCTGTGCTTCCTACTAAAAACTTGAGTGCTTTACCATTCTTAAATAATCTATAATCTATTTGGAATTGACTATTGTTTATGGTGCAAATTTGAGGTTAAGTAGTTTGGGGCTGTTTTGTTCATATTAATATCCGTTTTTCCCAGCACCACATACTGAAGAGACCATTCAATAGCCACTGAACTGCATCACCACCACTGTTATAAATGAAATAAATCTGTGAATGAGTCCATCTCTACTTCATAAAATAGGTGAATTGGTCTATTTCCACATCAGTGACATCATGGCTTAATTTTGGAGACATTTTATGAATTTCACTTTTTTCCGTTGAGTAAATCTTCTTCCTCATGGTTGTCTCACTAATTCTCTTATTCTAATTCTCTTTGAAGTTACATTTAAGTTTTAGAACCAAATTGACTTTTCAGTATACTTGCAGGAATCTAATGTTTTTTTTTGTCCTTGCTTTTCAGTAGTTTCATTATGATGTGTCTCTGATTTCAGTTTTATTTCTACTTATTCTATTTAGGATGTAGAGTTGTTTAAATCTGAGTTTGTGATTTTGTTCATTTTGTAAAATTTTTGTACAATGTATTTTCAGATATTGTTTTTTGCCCTATTCTCTTTACACTCCTTCTGGGGCTCCATTTAAACTTAGGTGAGAAGTTTTCACTATATGCATTCTTTCTCCTACACCAAGGGGAAAAGAAAAACGAAACTTTAAGGGTTACAAAAATAGAAAACTGTCTGTTAATAATAATGTATATGAAAATACCTTTAACTGGAACAATACATAGTGTACTCATGCTGGGAAAATTTATTTTGCAAGCTGTAATGATACCCAGTGATTGTATAAAAAAATTTAAAAGTAAAAAAAAAAGAAAAACAAGTATCAATAGATTGTGACCAGATTTTTTAAAACAAAAAGCAGCTTGGCAGTGTCAGGTTTGAGGTAAGCCTTATTTTTTCCCCTTGAAAATTTCAATTGCTCACTAATGGTTTTGATTTGAATAGATTTTTTTGATTTTGTTTGTTTGTTTGTTTGTTTAATGCTGAGTGGAGAAAAGTGCCAGCTCCAACTTCCAGTTTGGTGAAAGCACGAACAGATGCTGCATACTAAGTCAGCCACATCTGTGTTAAGCCATGTCGCAAAGGAAAAATAAAATGAAATGCACTGTATTCTGGCAGCGTATTAATGATCATGCAAGGGTTCATTTTTAATTCTGTATTTGTCACTGTTGTTTTGTGATCGCTCTCAAGCTGCTAGGAATTCTATCTCCTTCTTCTTCAGGGACCTCTATTCCAGGACCTTGCACAACTGGCATTGTTAACTAATCCTTGCAAAGCAAAAGTTAAAAGAGCAGATCATATATAGGAATACAAACATTCACCTTATTTTAATGGACTTTATTCATGCCAATTAACATTTTTACACAGACGGGATTATTTTGACTAGCTTATAAAAATGATGAGTTTCAGACACAGCTCAGTTTTGCCTTTAAAATATTGGATGTTTAAGCAAAACCATCCCTTACTCCTTGGTGTCAGAGAACCAGCTTCACACAGATGTGGAGGCTTCACACACATCCCTCACTCATGTGCTGAAACTGTGCTTAATTCTCCTGTGCTTCCTACTAAAAACTTGAGTGCTTTACCATTCTTAAATAATCTATAATCTATTTGGAATTGACTATTGTTTATGGTGCAAATTTGAGGTTAAGTAGTTTGGGGCTGTTTTGTTCATATTAATATCCGTTTTTCCCAGCACCACATACTGAAGAGACCATTCAATAGCCACTGAACTGCATCACCACCACTGTTATAAATGAAATAAATCTGTGAATGAGTCCATCTCTACTTCATAAAATAGGTGAATTGGTCTATTTCCACATCAGTGACATCATGGCTTAATTTTGGAGACATTTTATGAATTTCACTTTTTTCCGTTGAGTAAATCTTCTTCCTCATGGTTGTCTCACTAATTCTCTTATTCTAATTCTCTTTGAAGTTACATTTAAGTTTTAGAACCAAATTGACTTTTCAGTATACTTGCAGGAATCTAATGTTTTTTTTTGTCCTTGCTTTTCAGTAGTTTCATTATGATGTGTCTCTGATTTCAGTTTTATTTCTACTTATTCTATTTAGGATGTAGAGTTGTTTAAATCTGAGTTTGTGATTTTGTTCATTTTGTAAAATTTTTGTACAATGTATTTTCAGATATTGTTTTTTGCCCTATTCTCTTTACACTCCTTCTGGGGCTCCATTTAAACTTAGGTGAGAAGTTTTCAC